GGAGCTCCGCGGTGCGGGCTGCTCCCGCCTCGGCCTCGCTTTTACCTCACAATTCCATGGCTTTTCTGTAAAAAACGCTGTTTTTTAAAAAAAGAAAAGCTTGTTAGCTTGAACTTTGTATGTGCGGCATCGTACCGGGAAAAACAAAGAATAATTTCGGTAAGACTAAAAATATTTCCATTTTAAAATAGCTTCTGATAGCGGTTCCTTGTCTTTTTTGCTCTTTGCTACATATCTATATTTTATCTCCTTTTGCTTTAACTTACATCTAAGGCTGTCGCGATGTTTGTAATAATAAATTCCTCTGGTGCGTCTCGCCTGGAACATGGCTGCGGCAGGGTGCAGGTTACAGCACTGCCTGGGTGCTCCCCCCCCTTCCCTTTGTTTGCCTTTTCAGGGCTGGGCTTTTCTGGGGAAATTCATTTGCATGATTAGCTCTGGCGGTGTAATTAGACGGGTAAATTTACCCTGTTAGACAAACCTCCGGTCTAGGTAAGAATTCAGGAAGGATTGCTCTCCGCGTCCTCGTCGAACTTTGGAGAAGTTTTGCAGCTGGAAGTCTGTCAGGAGAGGAAACCCTGTCGTGGCTGTCCGGTGCGGTTAAATCGATAATGCGTTTTTATAAACGCTGGAGTTCTAGGAAACTGCTTGCTGTAGGTGACCCTGTTTCGGCAGGGGCTTGGACTGGGTGACCCACAGAGGTCCCTTCCAATCCCGAACATGCTGTGATTCTGTGAAATGCTTCCTAATCCTGCTGCTTCTAGGCTGGAGGTACAGACTGGGTCTAGGATCATTTAGTGACCTCCTGCCTGCCGCTTCCACCCGCCTGCCTTCCCCCGGTCTCGATCCAGGTGCTGGGCAGCAGGGACCAAGGCTTCTGTGGGCACACCGGGCAGAGACAGCGCGGCACGGCGCCTGAGGGACTGAACACTCTTTGACCCCGGGTTCAGCCCCGTCAAAGAGGATTTAAGACCTCGGTGGCTTTGTTACTTCCCGTGGTTTGAGGAGTGGCTCGGGGCCGGTGGA